ATCCCAAACTTAAGTTTGCAGATTTCAATTTGTAAAACTTCCAATTTTACAAACACTAATTCAAGTACAGGTTGAGCTCCTTGCTATTATAAAATAAGAGCACAAGTTTGCCTAATGTTAGCTTTATAATCGCTGAAGTTATTGATGGTCATACAAGTGGGATTTGAATCCTTTTTCAGTACATTCACTCAATCTTTTACTTGATATATATTGCTGACAAATCTTATTGTTGGATTTCAAATGAGATACCTCTCCCATCCCAAATTCCTGACAATTAATAGATTTGAACCATTTAAATTTGATTTTTTTCTGCTGAAATTTGGTTGAAATTATTAAAATTCATATTCTAAATATATTTATTTTCAATTAATTCTTGGGTAGAAACTCTTTTTTTTTTTTTACTTAGTATCTAAGTGAATCATTTTTATTTTACACTCTACTGCCTTTAAAACAACTCAGCTCAAGGTCACATAGAGGATGAAACTACTTGCTAACTTAGATTGCTTTTAGTGACAAGTTTTTGTCTTTTGTATATGCCTTTTTACCCATACAAATAATAATATTAAGCGTTAAAATATAAATTTGTCCGGAAATTTTCATTTGTGAGGGCTGGGCTCTCAAAAATTTTTTAAGTGCAAATTTGCTCGGAAAATATAAATCGTAGCAATTTTCCTCTAATGGTTAAAAAAGTAATGTTAACTATTAAAATAATAATGTTGATTGCTAATATTATTATTAATAAAGGATAAAATTGCTACATTTTAAATTTTTATAATTAATCTGTATCTAAAAAAACTTTCAAGTGCTAAACGTTCTTGAGTGAAAACTTAAAAAATGAATTTGCATTTTAATCCTAATATTAATTTTAGGGAAAACCATTTTACTAGTATATGTACTTTCCCTTTATTTTTTATTTGGCACCTATGTCCTTTTATCTTTTAATTAAAATCTTTAATTTTATTTTGTTAATATTATTAGCTTCTATAACTTTGCTTTGTTAGCACCATCTCTTGTAAGGAATAAGGATGCTAACAGTGCTAATAGAGCAAAATTAAAAATTTAATTAAAAAAGAAAATATTAAATTAAAAATTGAGAAAAAATATAAGCAGCTTTAAAATGATAATTTTTATTAAATTAGATAAATAAACGAACTTTCATTAAAAAAAAAGATAAATAAACGAACTACATGCCTTATAACATTTAATATTAACAATAAATTTTACAATTAAAATATTATATATTTTGAGGAAGCCATAGGGGGAAAAAACGATGGTATGAGTATGGTAGTTAGATATATGCGAATATATGTGACTATAAAAATGGAGTAGTAGAAAATTGAATTTATGAAGCTGAGCAAGAAGTCCACGGGCTTGAGTCAACTAGGCATGGGTTCTCCAGTCTCCATCTTGGCAGGCGGGCGAATGATTAATGAAATACAAAGCCTCCTCTTTTGACTAGCCATTTCCCCTTGAACTGTCAGTGTCAGGCCAGCATATTTGCGGTTCTCGAATCAACCACTTCCAGTGCTACATTCTCTGACCAGTGACCAATACGCAGCCATGACAATTGATTTCAATTTAGTCCAAAATAATTATATTCCTCATGCCTTGTTACATTTAGTGCTCCCCCATTTCTTTTCTTTTTTTTGGTTGAAAAAATTGCTTTTATTTATCCATCGTTTTAGAAGCTTAAATTAATGTTAGTTCGACATATGCATATCCTAAATCTAGTACTCTTTTATGGGGGTTGTGTGAGTGCATATACGATTGATTTCAATTTAGTCCAAAATACAACTCTTTTAATACTATTTTTATTCTTAATATAAGAGCTTATTTGACTTTCACTTTTATTCTATATCTAAGACTCCGATCTATTTTATCTCTCATATTTATTTATTTTTTTAAAGTACTCATTATAGTAGTTGTACATATTAAAAGTTTTATCAAATTATAGTTTTAATTAATACATATCATTAATAAGGATATTTTTAAAAAGATAATACTTATTTATTACAAATAGTTGACTTAACAAACTTACATAATCTATTCAAATTAATTAACTAACTCTAATACTCTTCTGGTTCTTAATATAGGACTTGATTGTTAACTTAATTTTGGTCCTAAATATAATACTTATTTCTTATATTTATCAAGTTTTTCTAAATTACTCTTATTAGGGCTAGTAAAACAGGCCAACCCGGGAGTTGCGGGTTGGCCCGTGGCGGACCGCGGGTTACATGGTGTGAGCTCAAAAAACCCATTTTCTGGCGAGCTGGCATTCTGTCAATCCTAACCCATTAACCTGTCAAAATTTATTTTTTTCCCTCTTCCTTTTTTTATATGTTAGCACTATATTATAAATAATCAAAAATTAAAAAAAAACACCAGAAATGACTTAAAGTATTCCAAATATTCAAATAAAATTACAACACATTAAAACACAAACAATCTAAAGTCCAAACTCTAAAATGATAAAACACAAGTTCAAACATATTTTTTCCATCTTGATCTAATTATCTCTAATGACAATGACATTTGAAACTAAAGCGTTATTTGAAGCTAGTTTAATATTGATTTTGACAATATTAGCAGCACTTTCCTTTTGCTCAGGTTCATTTGCCACAAGTAATTGGAAAATGTGAAAGAAACATATGATAATAATTAAAATAATGCAAACTATTCCTATTACAAATAAATGAATAAATATAATCATATTACCAAATGGAAAACCCATAACCCAGTTACCGGTGCAAGGTAGGGCTTCAATGCTTCGATCATTCCACCTCCCATGATATTTTAATATTAAAAAAAAATTAGACGGGTTGTAGTTTGAACCCGCCAACCTGCAGGCTAACCTGCCAGGGGTTCAGGTTATAATGGTGCGAGCTCATATTTATGAGGTCGTGGTGGGTTGGCTTTTAGCCAACTTTGACCCACTTTTTTTTGGTGAGTTGGGCCTACGGGTCTGATCCATATTACCGGTTTTAACTCTTATGAACATTCCTCAATCATAATCAAGTAAATGAGGGAGAGAGGATATTAAGAAAGATGATTATGGTGTTTTAGGAAAAACATGTCATATTTCTTATAATTAACTAACTTATCTAATTTTTTTAATCTAATCAAATCAGTTAAATAAGTTTTACATTAAGGATCAAAAGAGTATTAAAAACTGTAGGTAGAGTTTGTTTTAGCCGAAAAGTTAAAAACAATTTCTCAAGTTGGGGAGCAAGTCAAACTTAAGTTGATGATTGAGGAGGAGCGCGAGATACGGCAGATGATTGAATAATTACTAAATCAGTTAATTGGATTTTATATTAAAAACTTTGATCCAGAAGACGAATTGATGGGACGATTATCAACTTATTGACTATTAAAAATTAGTTGAAAAAGTCATGGCTTGCTCAGTTGAAAAAGTCGTGCTTGAATTTTCTCCCAAAAAGCCTGGTCAATTACCATTGAGAATTCAGAAGAAGGCGTCACCTTTAAAATTAGTAAGACATCTCCTCACCAATTTTTTTAATTACCATCTATTTAAATACACATACACACAAACATATGTTAATATCAAATTTAAATTTGAAATCCCACCTTAACATAGCAAACAATGCTATCATTGAAATCATTTACTGCTGGCATCTTCCGTGTATTTTCAAATTTGAATAATCACTTAAAAGCTCTTATCTTTATGCTTAAATAAATAATTACAATTTTAATTCTTAACCTTTATGCATAAAGTAAGTTAAGACTGTAAAGTTTATCTTTTTCTCTTTCGTAAAAATAATACAGTTTATAATATAATTTGTACTACAAATTAGATTTATATTTGAAATCAAAAGTAGTAGTATATTTTATAGTCTTTATTACTGAATGAGGATAATTTAGTGTTAAAAAAAGGAAAGTATTTTTCATAATATTTTATATATCGTGATTGAGTATTTGAGTTGCATATTCAAATTACTATGATTAATTACTTTGGTGTGCAATGAGGATATATAGTAATGGGTTCAATTCTACTGGATTAGTTTAGTCCCCTTGCAATTTTCCCCCCAGATTAGCGGTCAACTTAAGTTGAATTTGTGAAGACTTGGTAACATTTGTAGAAACTTTTGTTTGTTTAACTTTTGTTATTTCTGTTATGATTCATAAATTAGTAAGTATGTCCAGTTAGAGATTAAATATCATTTCTCATTTTTCTTTTGCCACTATCCATGTTCATATATTTATCTTATTATTATTTAAACTTTTTTCAAAAATAAAAAACCTACATCATTTTTGTAAAGTTTATATACTTATATTTAAATCAGTATAAATTTAAAAATATAAAAAAATTAAAATAAAAAATGTCCAATTTAATCTAATAATTGAGACGAACAAGTTCTTTTCAAATCTGAAAATATAAAAAGACTAAAAAAAAAATAGCAGGCCCACACACAATTTCTTTTCTTTCTGTCCCTCTCCCTCCTTGTTTTTAATTTTTTAAAACCTCAAGCACACTGACTCAGTCACCACAATTCAACTACTCCGTCCGTTTTTTATTATAAGAAACATTTGATGCTTATAGCATGTTTCCATATATAAGAGACACTTAAAAGTTGTCTCTATTTTTTTGTATTGATTTCCTATTTTATCTCTATTTATTTTGTCTCCAACTCATACTCTCTCTCCCTCCTACTTCTCTTTCTTTTAATAATTTAATTGTTCTCTCTCATACTCTCTCTCCTTATCAATGGGGGCATTGTTGAAAAAACAGTATACTTTTTACATATTAATTGTTCTCAACTAATTTTAACTTTTTTTTAATCAACATAATTTAGTTATTTGTCTCTTATAATAAGAAACGGAGGGAGTAATTTTTTTGGATGAAATTTCAAATAAAATTTTCAAATTCTTTTTCTCAGAGAAGCTTTTTTTCCTTTTTTCGGTGAAAAAAGGAAAGAACGATAAGAATATAATTAACTAACACAGTATAGCCAGTAATGTACTAATGCGTCGATTCTCCGTTGGAGCGAAGGAGGCGTCGGAAGAAACCAGCAAGGACAATGCAGAAACAATATTAACTGAATTGTCCGCGCCTTGATGCTCTGTTGTCTTTTCCGACTCCGAAAGCCACACGCCCCAGCCATCATCATCATCAAATCAACAGAAGCTTCTTCATCTTTTGTTTTCCTTTAACTTTAAGCTATCACTAATCAGATCTCCATTCTTTTTTCTCTATTTATTGTTTCTTCCCCCAACCTTTTGGCATGCTCGCCTCCAATTCTGGTTCGGTGCTCCCTACTAAAGCCCCTTTACTTCCTCGCAACCCCTGTCTTTTCCGCTTTGGCACTGCTTTCTTGGATCCACGGGCTCGATCCAGACCCACCGTCCTTGCTACGCATAAGCTTTCCCTCAATTTGATCAGAATGGAAGTGCTCCGGCGATTAGGCGGAGGTTGCTTCAAGAACCCCAACGACAAGGGTTTAAAGGTGGAGGCTGATAGTGGTGGGGAGGATTTCTTCGATGTTTCCGCAGGCGTGTCTAAGCCAGCCTGCGAGCACCTTGTAATCATGGTTAATGGGATAATTGGGAGGTATTGTGCCCCGGCGCGCGCTCTTTATCATTTATTTTTCTTTAAGTTGTTAATGGTTCATCAGTTTCTTGGAAAAATTTGTACTTTTCTTAATCTTATGGCATTGCTGCCTGCTTTGGGACATTACATGGCGGAAGAATATTAAATAGATTAAGTCTTTTACTTACTACACAGTAAGAGTTGATTGGAGATGGTTGCCATAAAATACGGGGATGAGGAAATTCAAAAGGAACGGGTGAATTTTATTTTCTTAAATTAGTCATGGTACGAGAGAATCTTGGATTGAGTGTTTCAGCATGTCTAAGTTTTTCTTTTGGGTGGTTAGTATATTTTAAGTTTCGTAGTGAAAGGTTTCCAAGTACTCAAAGATCATCTTCAATATCAGATTGTTTAAATTGCTTCTCAATCAGTAGTCGATGTTTAGCAAATACCCTAAATATAAGTGGCACCCCCGCCCTCCCAAAAAGGGGAAAAAAAACTCCCCTCCCCCCCCGGGGGGGGGGGTTCTGAAAAAAAAACAAAACTCTCTTTTCCCAGAGCTTATCTCCCTTGAGCATCACGCATTGGAATATCCGAGCATCTGAACTTAATAGCGCCTCAGTAGAATAATTTTCCCCTGAACATGGTCCTGAGGTCCTCTTTGAAGGCCATGATAGTAGCTAGGAGACGACACATTGCTTATTTACCCTCTTAATTAACGTGCCCGTCCTTATATCTCAAAATGAAGATTTATGCTATTTCCTTTCTTGTGTGCGTTCTTATGAGAGCATATCCATCTACTTTTAGTCACTTTGAAAGGTGAATTTGTTGTGGCTTTCTAGTAAGGAAAGAAGGAGTGCCATCAATCTAAATTCAATTTGGTCCCTAGGAGAACATCCTTTTGAGTTGAAACTCAATTTTGCCCTGAGAAAATAATTTTTCTGTGTGATCTTATGAGCTGAAATGCACTTCATATCAGTCCTGCAGATTGGCGTTATGCAGCAGAGCAGTTTGTGACGAAGCTTCCAGATAAAGTTATTGTTCACCGTGAGTATTCCTGTCATATTAGCTACTGGTTTCATTGTCAACAATCCAATGGAATAAAAGCAACATCATCGTTCATATTAATGGATTATTAACTTTCTTTCTTGGGTTGATGATCTCTATGTAGGTGATGGCATGACTAACTACGTACTTTCTCATTTTGATTGTTATTCAGATCAATTCTTCTGTCTTTCTCTTTCATGAAATTATGATGTAAAGCATTTTGCTCAGTAAAGGGGAGAGTGATTGCAAGAGTTATTTTTTGTTGTTTTTGCCTTCTATCTACAATATAGTACAAACATTGTTCTACTTTGTATATTCTTTTGGTTCTTTCTGTGAAATTGCGAACTTCATTATCGTCTACTTTTACATCTCTTGCATTCTGCATAGGACGTGTGTTTAGCATGATATTTTGTGGACAGGCAGTGAATGCAACTCTTCAAGATTGACATTTGATGGTGTTGACAAGATGGGTGAGAGGCTAGCTGAAGAGGTATTTCGGTAATAATGATATTATCCTTTTTTCAGGACGTACAAACATCTTAATTTCTCATATTTCTCTGATTCTGCAGCTGTAATTTCATAGGAATATTAACTTTGACATGGCTCATTTCATATCTGGGTATTTGGCTTCCAATAATTTCTATGCAGGTACGGTCTGTTGTTAGACGTTGGCCAGAGGTGCGAAAGATCTCCTTTGTGGCTCATTCTTTGGGGGGTTTGGTGGCCAGATATGCTATTGGGAGACTTTATGACTATTCTTCAACATCGAGGCCTGTAGGTACAAGTGCAACCAGAAATGACTTTGGTGAAGAGCAAGCAGAATATTCAAAACAATGTCTTGAGCAATGTTACGAGGCCACAATTGCTGGTTTGGAGCCAATGAACTTTATAACATTTGCAACGCCACATCTTGGTTCAAGAGGACATAGACAGGTTCTTAAGCTTGCTTTGAACCGTCATTTCAAGATTCAGTATAATTATTAAGTCTTTTGTCTGTTCTTTGAGGGTACTTTTGGCTTGTCTCTCCTTTTTTCCGTCTCTTTTCTGCCACAGTTGCACTAAACTGCCAGTGCTTTGGGGCTGACACATCTATCCACTTCATTCTCTACTCTTAAACTTTCTTTTGACTCCATTTGAGTTAACATCTGTGGCACATGAAAGGCATGTCAATGTAAACATGGTGCAATAAGTGCAATCTTATTTTTATTTTCTCTTTGTTTACTGCAAAATTTCTTCTGAAATCCACTTCCATCAAAGCGTAACACTGATTGATTTTACCTATTTGTTCCACCACTATAAACTATAGATTAGTAATCATTATTGTTTTATTTTATGATATTTGAAACTTTTGATGTTTGTATATGATATTCTGATGACAAATGAAGAGACATGTTAACGATAGAAAGTAGTTGCCTTTTGAAGACGCTGTTCCTTTCCATGGTAGACTTGGTAGCTATATATCTACAAAAGCAAGTTTTTAAGGGTATTCTTTTTATGAATCATTGAACACGTTTACAAGTCTGATGCCATTTGGGCTTGATTTTCTGCGTATGCATTTTTATCTTTTTATGTTCTGTTTATTTCAGTGAATGTACCATTGTTATATTTTGTTAGTCTGTTGACCCTGTGCCAATTTATTCATGAATTGAAGTCTCAAGTTCTTATATTGGAGGACCATCCCTTATTTCTGTTATTTTGTATTCGTGATTTTAGCTTCCCTTTCTTTGTGGCCTTCCTTTCCTTGAGAGAAGAGCATCCCAAACTGCACATATAGTTGCAGGGAGATCTGGGAAGCATCTCTTCCTTGTGGATAATGATGATGGAAAGCCTCCTCTTCTCCTGCGTATGGCTGGCGATTCTGATGACGTAAAGTTCATGTTAGTATCAATTTGTAAGTTTACATAATCAGATGCTTATATTCCATTTGCATTATTGCTCAGCCAACTGTTACTGATGGTGTAGATCAGCTTTACGTGCATTTAAGCGCCGTGTGGCATATGCAAATGCAAATTATGATCGTATCCTCTTTTTAATTTAGATTTTGAGGTATTTACAAAATTTCTGTTGCGCAAAGCTCTAAATTTATGGAGTCAGCAATCTATTTCAAAGTTAGCAGATGCTAAGTTCTTCCTAAAAGTTTAGCAATAATTTTTATTTTCCAAAATATAGCTTAACTTAGCTTGAAGATATGGTTGGATGGCGTACATCATCAATTCGGCGTCAACATGAACTTCCAAAGGTAGAGGCTTTCTTCATCTCTTCTGCCTTTTTTCCTATATGGCTTTTTCAGGCTAACTTCTGTTCCTTCTTTTTCTGCCAGGCCAATCTGCTTGTAGTAGATGAGAAATACCCTCATATTGTATATATTGAAGGGGAGACTGTTAAAGACGATCACAATCCCAATAAAGCATCTTCTGCTATCAATGACCAATCAACTGACTTGGAAGGTACATTTTCGTTTTTTTTTTTTTTGGGAAAAAACTCCATGATATACTCTTTTTTTTTTTTTTTTTTTTTCCAATTCAGTGTTTACATACTTCTCTTGCATACAACAACAACAACAATAAGTCTTATCCCACTAGGTGAGGTTAGCTACATGAATTGTATGGGGATTGGACAGTATGAGTAATACCCTCATTTATGTGGAAGGAAGAGAATGTGTGGTGGAGAGAGAATATGTGAAAATTAAATACAATGATATGAGTAATATGAGTAATTAAATGGAGGTAAAATGGGAAATCAACAAACAAAATTTGAGACAACCTCTAAAAGTCTCTTATAAAAGGGAACATGCCATACTCCACAATTGTTTTTTGTTAAAAAAAAAAAAAAAAAAAAAACCGGAGGGAGCCTACATTATATGCTTGGGAAGAGGAGTTGTTTTTCTTGGAATTTTATTTTTGAGATTGGATTGATTGATAGTTGGACTGTCTAGTTCAAGAACATTCATATAGAATGAGAAAAGAAAAAAAATGGAAGGGCAAGTATGTATGGGTGTGTAACTAATCTCATAAAACAAGGCCCACATAAATAAATTCCTTTAAGATCTGTTACCACTTGGGTTGCAGTTCCATTTGGCACGTAGTAGGGATACAAGGAGGTGTAACGTATACTTGATTGGAATTGTGATCTAGGAGATAATGTCTTGTGTTTGGGATTGCACGATTTGCAAGTGAGGGCCGTGGCCTAGGGAACAATATAGCAGATTTAGTTACCACCATGTCCCTGTTAAAAGTTTGTGGTTTTCTGGGGCACATATACATGCAAACTACTATTTCCGTGTTCTGTGTTTTTAACCATGCAATAAATTCTGAACACTTTCATATCAAGTTGAAATATGCTATGAAAATTGGCAGTATATTTTATGTTATTTTATTTTTGTAATCATGTAGTTGGGTATATGTGACATCTTCTATGAGGAACTCTATACATTACTCTGAACTACTTATCACAGTCAATATATTCACTGATCACTTTCTAGAGTTAAACATTCAACTTTCATTAACTATGAACTCCTAATGTCCCGTAGAATGTTATACTAGCTGCCCATAAACTTTATGCTGCTCTTTTGCATTTACTGGGGTGTTGCATTTGATGCTTAGATTTCTGTCGTCTTGTATTTTCTGAATATGTTATTCTTCCTCTATGTAGAGGAGATGATAAGGGGTCTCACTCAAGTACCATGGGAGCGTGTAGATGTTAGCTTCCAAAAGAGTAGACAACGTTATATAGCTCACAGTACAATCCAGGTAAACTTAATAGCTTAACCTCTTAACTTCCTTGCAGTCTGGGTGATGTAGCCCCTTTGTCCTTTTGATGATTAACACCAACTGCTTTCTTCATACTGGTTCCTTTAAGAAATGTATCAAATGTGATGGGCATTCATATTTGGGGATAAGAACAGGACAGTGTTACCTTGCTATTTTTTGGATTAAAACATGTTAAGTGAAGACACTGTACTCATGTCCATAAGATTTGGGGATCTATGATTCTATGATGGCTAAGGAAGGAATCAAATAAAGTTATACAGAAGGTAATTGGTGAACAAAATCAGAGTAAGGCGATGCTCTGATTGTTTCTAATCATGGGAAAGAAAAGTGAGGTGGGGACAAATTTTTCCTTCCAATCCATCAGTCAGTCAACAAATACTTGAATCAAAGGCCAGTAAAGTAGTAAGATGTAGGGAAAATTAACAAAATCAGAATCCATCTCTCTAATTAAGTAAGATATACAAGGCACACGACAGCTGGGAGAAGAGTAGGAAGTACATGATTGTCAACAATCCTCATCCCCCTCGAGTTAGGGAGCAAATGTTGTTTATTTCTGGCTGGCGGAGCTTAATTGATTAATTCTTCTAACCTGACTGTTGCAATCGTCTTTTTAGTTCAGGAATTTAAGCATTGTTGGGTGTTACTAGTCCCCCCCCCCCCAAAAAAAAAAGAAAAAAAAATTTCTGATTTGTTTTGTTTGCCTTCAGGTGAAAACCTACTGGTTGAATTCAGATGGCGCTGATGTGGTTTTTCACATGATAGATAATTTCCTTCTTTAGCTCCTGACAAGTTTGCTGTCACTAAGTCTGTGATCTGAAAATTGGGTGGATGTATTTAATTAGTTTTCCCCCCTCTTGGTCTGCTTTGGAGCAGATGAAGATGATTTGTTGTATACCAGATCATGGTGGTTAATACCTCAGCCTCATCTGAGTGTACTTTTGTGCATTAGTACCCATTCTTAACTATGGTTATGTATCCGCGTCATTGGACGTCGGTACATGGAAAAGCTGTCATGCAATCCTTTTTATTCGATGCTTTTCTTGTCTACATATTCCACATTGATTCTTATGACCACGCCTCCAAAAAGGCATATTACTGCTTTCGGCTCTAATAATGAGAACTAGTTGACTAATTTAAAGAGATTAAGAAAATAAGTTAAATTAGTTGTTGTAATAAATATATTGTATTGTATTCTTAAAATATTCTTGCTAATAAAGTATATTAGTTAGAACTATCATTTTAAGAAGGAATACCTTAGAAAAAATGTACTTCTCTGGTTCTATTTAAAATGTTTCCAGCATGTTTTCTACAGACAAAGAAAACCTTAAAATGGATTAATTCTTCAATTAAATATAATAAATTTTTAACTTTACTCATATTTAATATATACAGATTTTTAAAAAGATAGATACTTACATCATAATAAATGAAGGATAAAATAGTATAGTTATACTGAAAATTTAATGAAGTGACTTATAAATAGGATAAAAAAATCTTTTCTCTCTGCCCTATAAGTAGGACTAGAGGAATATAAATATAAGATATAAAATAAATTAGAATTTTATATTTAGAATTAAAATAAAAGTTAAACAAGAATTTATGTCAAGGCCAGGAGGTAGTATAATAAAACTAACGTGGTAGACTGTAGGTGTCGCCAGCCTGCTTTTTATTTGTTTTTGGGTACAGGCAGCCTGTTATGTCTCTCCATCTTTTTCAAGTTGAGGACAGAGGTGCAGGCCTTAAAGAATTCGCCCTGTTCTGGTAAAATTGTGTAAGTAGCCTGTTTTTTATTCTGTGAAATATGTTTGGCGTTACTGTAATGGACATGAGCGACATATCCAATGTGTTCGAAGTGAGTCTGTTATTGGTGGGCTCAACATCAAAAGGAGGAGGAAAAACAGGGCTT